AGGAATGCTTTCTGGATGCTCTCACTGACCCTTCCCTTGTGATCCACAAAACACTTTGTCAGCATGAACTCTTGTACTATTGCTTGTTTTTGTAGGTCATTCCTAGTTGATAAATACTCACAATTCGCCCAGTTCTCACAGTTGACGGCATGCAAAACTTTGTCCACTTTGCCAATGAGGGGCCAAAGGGCACCTCCAAGGAAATCTCTCTGGTTTCTATTGCTGGGTGAAGGCAAAGCCCTCCTGTCTTGGAAAAATAAAGCTTTGCCAATAGGCAGGGGCTCTGCCGTAGCTGGCCACAGGAACCACATCGCTGTGCAAATTCATTACTGCCTGCATGACCTACATTTTAATTAGCCCCAAAGAAATCTTTTCTGAGCCTGCTTCCCTTGCTACCCAGAACACCATGGCTGATTTCATCTGGATTTTTATGGGGTTAAAGCTCTACCAAACATTACTGCATTTTGGCAACCCTTAGAGAGCAGCAGCAGGCAATGTTTTTGTCTCCAGATAAAGAGATTTAACCTTACTCACGAGTCCAAACTGTCCACCAGATGCTCTTGCTATTCAGCATAGTTTCTCTTCGTGCATGCAAGCCAAACCATGGGCAACAAGCCCTTGTCGAAGCTTTTCTCATTTTGCTGCAGAAGTTTCTTTCCTCCAAGTTGAGGTCATTACTGAGAAGCACTTAGAGCTTTAACCACATTCACAGACTGGGGACTTTCCAGCTCTGGGAAGGTGTCACAGCTTCACCATGAGGGCCAAGCTCTGCAGCAGAGGGGATGATGCTCTCAGCAAATTTGTGAAGCAGCAGCAATGGTGGTGCAAAGTAAATGAGAATGCCACAATGGTGAACAGAAACAAGTGATCCAGTGGAAGGCATGCCAGCGATTGCAAATGGCAGCACCAAGAGTCATACTTACCCTCCCGCCGCAGTTTGTCTTATGAGTAAAATGTGAGGGAGGAGAAAAAGGAAAATTATATTTTATTAGAGCAGAATTACACCCTCGACAAAGCTAAGGAGATAAAGAAACAAGAGAGACTGAAGTCCCATTGGAAAAGTCATCCTTTACCCAGCAGGCTCAGAATTCCTTTCAAACAGTGAAGGTAAAGTCACACTGAGCTTCACCACCTTTAAGACAGAGAAAATTATACCTCAGAAAAAAACACCTCAGGGGACTGAGTATCCCCTACCATACATATGGTACCTTGGCTTTCCAAAACTGCCATCAATATTTACCACATTTGACACAAATCTACTCCTCCTAGTGCCACCACTCTTAAAAGATGAGACCTGAAGTTGGGTTCCTGACCCTCCAACAACACACATGTAGACAGGGGTGGTTTATGTGCCTCTCTATCAAGCTATGCTCTCTATGTCATTTTGAGAGTGTCATTCTAATTTTGAGATTGCGCTAATTGCTGCGTTGTGCCCAGGATCGTGGGCTGGCACTCCAAAGCCATTAGTGGTGTGGAGCAATCAAGGCACAGTAACCTGGAACCTCTGTGATGCAAATCCCTTTGTGTGATGTGGCTACCCCTTATTGCAGCAGCCTTGTAGGACAAATGCCTCTGTCACCATCAGACCCGAAGAACTCGCAGAGAAACCACATTGTGACTGAGTCACTTCAGCCCACGCTTACCTCCGGGTTAGTAGCTGCCCTTTGCATTAGCCCTTATTAGTATGATGCTGCCAAACAACTCTCTGCCCAGTGCTCATTCGTGTTCATAATCTCCCTGGGTGCCTGTGAATAGCTTAGTGAGGGAGCTCAGAGGCAGAGCTTTTGTGAAGGAGCTGGGTGTATTCACAGGCAATCTGATATCGCACACATGAAATCTTACCTCAGGACCTCTGTTCACTTAGTGAGGCAACAGGCGTTTGCCTGATGACATAGAGACCCCAGGAGAGACACATGGACACCACTGAAAAAATATCCAGTGTGATCCCAACTTTCTCAGAGACCAAGAGAGAGCTGCAGGAATCCACTTGGTACCACTGCAGGGTGCCCACAAACAGGAGAAGAAGGGCCAATGCTCGATGGATAAATACATGTTCCCTGAATGAGTCAATCAGCTACAAATTATGGGCTATCTGTACTTCTCGGGTGGCACTCAGGTTGCTTGAATTTAGTTATCCACATGAGTACTACATCTAACCTTGAAGATGGACGTGCTCTGAGCTGAAGGAGGTTGGACTGTAGACCTCCAACCTGAACTTTCCTTCCAACATAAACTCTTCTATGATACCCAAGCTCCAGCCAGCTCTAAAGCAATCACCTCATCCAACAGGCACCTATGTTTGCACAGCTGAAAGGCTCTGTTGGCTCTATTGATATCTCTGGCAAATGCCATGGATTCCTAGTGCACATGGAGACACCACCTCAAGTATGAATTTGGCCTGCTAACTTTTGCTAGCTTATCAGTATAAATGGCTGTGGCTCCCTGAAGAGAGCTCCAGGGAGTAACTCAGTTCATCTAACGTGTGAATCATTTTCTGGTCATGCCTTTTTCTCTAAACTGACAATACAGGGGACCTAGACATCATGCACAACAAATAAGGTGCCTTGGTGAGAGATGAATTTGGGGGTCTCTATTCTCCTCCAAGCTTTGGGGAATTAGAGGTGCCTTTTCAGCAGCCACATCCCCTTCCCCTAGGATTGAAATCCATCTCTGAAAGAAGAGATGGATATCTTCCAGAGTTGGGGACAGGGGGCTGTCAACTGTATGAACAACCTATGTAACAGAGTCGTGTGCTCTCCATCACTGCCCAGCTCTAATCCAAAACCATCCTTTCAAAAGGCACTGGACATCAAGCAGAACAAGCAGACTTGACAGATAAAATCCTGGATCTGGTCTGCTACTTATGCTACCTGGGAAGTCAGACTGTACTGCAATTCCCTCTGGCCTGAAAATCTAGTAGTCTCTAGAGCCTTTGAAAAATTAGATTCCCAGGAGGCTTTGAAAAGGCCTTCAAAGGCACAGCAGGCACTTACCTGAGTAGCTGAAAACTGTAGGATTTGAGCGCAATACCAAATTTTCCATATTTGGTACTTAGCTAGTGGCTAAGTGGCTAATACTTGGTACATTAGCTAGTGGCAAACACACACGCACGCTCCTCACTTCTGCCCCAAGAATGTGCGCCAGACTACACAGCACATAGCACAGTGATAAAACCAGCACGGAGACTGCAGTGCTGACTCTTGTCCTGCTGAGGACGTCGCCTTTGTGATGCTCAGTTCAATCAGGGTTTCCCACGCGTGGGTTCCCTAGAGCTAAGGAGAGTGGGGGGTGCAGTGCAGAGCAAGAGGTGGAGGTTGGGAGGACACTCACATAGATGAGGTGCTCCCGATAGCGGATCAGCAGGTTCCTGAGGATTCCCGCCTCGTTCAGGTCCCCCAGGCGGATCATGTCCTCCACTCCATGGATGGAGGTGGGGTGCATGGGTTTGATGTGGCTGGCGTTCTGCGGGGAAATCCAGTGCTCCTGGGAAGAGAGCGAGGGCAGAGAAAGATAAATGAAATTAGATACCACTGGGATGAGGGACAGAAACAGCCCACCCCAGACCGAAGGACCAGATGGAAGAACATACACGGGAGAGCATTAGCACACAGGCCACGGCTTTTATTCCCGGTACGTGGCAGTGACTAATTTGAAAGATTCCTAGCAGAAGAAGGAAAACATCTTTTGGTTTACTGGAGCAGCAAGAGACATGAGACACGAGGCACCCTGGCAGAAGCATCATCCAGGGCAGTATGGACATCCAGCACATCAGGGGTGTTTTTAACAAATAGCAGGTTTGTTCTTCCCTTCACAGAACTACATTTTCACATCACCGGTTAACCCTCTGCCACAAAATACTGTTGAGTGGAGAAAAGATGATTTAGAAGAGGAGAGAGGGATGCACAGGGGTGGCAAAATCACACTTTTATTGGCAGAGTGTCATTTAGACTGATCACTTCTAAAGGGCTTCAAAAGCCACTACAAATTG